GGAGCATCGTTTGTCCCGAGAAATTGCAAACACATGCGAAGCACTTTGAAGCGTTTAGAGGTAAGGAAAAGCCCAGGAAATGACAAACATATCTAATATTTCCACCCCTGGCTCTGCGGTGCTGCTGACCCTGGGTGGTTTTCATGTGTGCCCAGGGAGATGGCTGCGTTCGCTTTTGGGCGAATGATGCCATCCCACGCAGGTGGTTTGTAAAGCCCTTTTGGGTTTCTCCTGGTGCTGTTTAAATGTAAGGTGGCACAAAAGCGAATTTCTGCATATTACACAACTTTGTCAAAAGACAAAGTCAGCGTATGTGTGCAAACACGCAAGTACGTATCTTCTTAAAAAGAGGGAAAAAAGCAGCAATGCCAGGGAAAAAACCATCCCTACCTCCGTGTACCTGGCCATGCTAACACCTCGGGGCGAAGGCGCAGGGTACCCCCAGAGCAGGACCCTCCCGAGCAGCGTTGCCAGCGTTACATCTGGCCGCGCAGCTCGTCGGAGCAGCGTCGCCTGAAACGCTCCCTCCGATTCTTCCATTCCAGGTGGATCCACTCTGACAGCAAACCCTCCACTTGGCCCGCTGCGCCATTCGCAGCTTTTTTTTGTGTGTGTTTAATGATTCTTGACCGGCCATTTAGCCTAGGAAGTGCCTGTATTGCTTCCCTGCCCCCCCCCCCTTTTTATAAATGTCATCATCCGCTCGGCACATGGCATTGAATAAGAGGAACCTCCAAGGGCACGGCTGTGAGGGGCAGGAGCGCACTGAGATGTGCAAGCGCATGCAACGTTAGATGAAAAAAATAAAGGGGAAAACTGCCAAGAAACTTGACCAAAGAGAACTGATCAGCAGAAACTGGGCCAAGTTCACAAACCTGTGGGATAATCTTCCACTAAGACCGAAAAACCCCATAACCCGAAAGTAATTAAAAGAAGGATCTCTGCAATTTGTTTGGGGGGGGGGGGAATGTAACAAACTAATTTAAGCTAATGTAATGTTTATAAAGTTACTTAGATAATGACACCATGTATGCCATTATAATCATTAGAACCCAATCTATGTGTTTTTTTAAAAAAAACTTAGATGATTAACACAAAATCAAGTTGATGTGAAGGAACAATTACTTTTAGAAAAAAAATCAGGAGGTCCTAATATTCTGTAGAATGAGGGAGGATGCAGCTGTATGTCGACAGCTTTCATATCCTCATTTGAATAATGTGGCCTGAATCTGTCACTTTATTCATCCTCCTTATGCTCAGTGTACTCTGCATCAACAACAAATTAAGTTGTAAATAAGAGACAATCATCACTTTTGTTTTTAAGCAGCTTCTGCATGGAGAATTTCAATGTACTGTTTCTTTTTGACAGAAAGAAAGGGATTCTACACTCTGCTTATGTAAGCACAAATATGAGGAAACCAACCGAAATGAAACAATAAGGGAGCACTTGAGAACTGCTCCAAAATGTTCTTGGAAGTACATTTCTACCACCACCGACATCGCCTTTTTTAATAGGATATGTATAATGAAAAATATTTCATTTCCTGCAATAATTATTCTTACTTTGCTCTGAAATTTTGACGATTTTTTATTTTTATTTTAAAAACATCCCCTTTCCTCACCTAGGCACAAGCAGGGTACACCTCAACAGGAAGAGCAAGTGCATAAAGTCAGCTGTAACCTTTGCGTACCCAGAAATATTATTAATCTCTAATATGATAACATGATACCTTTTCATGAGCAAATATAGCATGCAGTAAGGAGAGAGGCGGGGGGAGGGGGAAGAGATTTTCTTACCTTTACGTCTGAGAAGTAGGTTTTCAGCATATTGGAACTTGGGTACCGGGTGTAAAAGAACATGAGCTTGGCCTTTTTCAAGTGATTCGGTGACAAGCCTTCCTGCATGTAGGATTGAATTAGTAAAGGAAAATGCTGTTCTTGAGAAAGCCGTTTCTTAACATACAGAGCTAGCAAAGTGCCCCCTTAAATACTCTATGGTTCCCCAGACTACAGGAGGAAATATTAACATTTAAATTGCTGCGCTGTAATTTTCTGTAAGACAGCTAAAGGAGGGATGCGAGGCCGCGTAACTTAAATCCTGTATTTCCTATCAGTTTTGGTGCCGGATCTCAGGAATCTTGCAAGTTTACGGCTTGCGTACCATATGTATGTTCACTTGTTGCTAAGGAAACAAATGCACGAAGCATGTGCCGCCGAAAACTTATCGGAAGCTTTTTCTCCCTCTCCTTCGCAATTCCAGCTAAAGTTTATTTCTTCTCTCAGCGGTGTGCTGCTTGCACGAAATAAAACTAATGCTTGTAAGACAATCGGAGACGCTTCATCATTTTGAGCAATGTTTTGTACAGTCAGTACATTTCACCTGTTTCATTCGTGACGATAAATGTTAACATCCCGAGTAACTCTCTCTAATCCTGCTGGTGCTTTGCTCCAGTGGCTGCCTGGGCAAGCAAAGGGAAATTTGTCCCAGGCGGAGCCCCTC